GAGTCCTAATCACTAGACTGCCAGGGAATTCCCTTCAATGTTTTCATTCTAAGTTTATGCATTTCTTTAGAACTGTTTGCTGTGTTGGACATTATCTGATTGTATATACAAGTATAGCATTTACTGTCACTTTTTATCTTCTAAGTTGAAATTCGTGCACTTTAAGCTTTTTTTCTGTTTTAGATCATTTCCTACAGTGGTAGGTACCCTAATCTTTGACCTAAATTGTACAGTACAAGCTGCACTGTATTATTCTTTATCAGGATGGGTAAGCCAAACAAACATTAGGCAGTACATTAGACCATGCTGTAGAGCAAACTTTTTTAAAATTCACTTTATTTATTTTTGGTTGTACTCAGTCTTTGTTGCTGTGTGAGGACTTTCTTTATTTGCTGCAAGCAGGGGCTGCCCTTTGTTCCAGTATGCAGGCTTCTTCATTGTGGTGACTTCTCTTGTTACAGAGCACAGGGTCTAGATGCACAGGCTTCAGTAGCTGCAGCGCGCGCGCGCAGAATCTGTGTGGTATGTGGCTTAGGGCACGTGGCTTCAGTAGTTGCAGCACGCGGGCACAAAATCTGTGTGGTATGTGGCTTAGGGCACGTGGGCTTCAGTAGCTGCAGCACGTGGGCGCAGAATCTGTGTGGCATGTGGCCTAGGGCACGTGGCTTCAGTAGCTGCAGCACGTGGGCGCAGAATCTGTGTGGTATGTGGCTTAGGGCACGTGGCTTCAGTAGTTGCAGCACGCGGGCGCAGAATCTGTGTGGTGTGTGGCCTAGGGCACGTGGCTTCAGTAGCTGCAGCACGCGGGCACAAAATCTGGGTGGTATGTGGCTTAGGGCACGTGGGCTTCAGTAGCTGCAGCACGTGGGCGCAGAATCTGTGTGGCGTGTGGCCTAGGGCACGTGGCTTCAGTAGCTGCAGCGCGCGCGCGCAGAATCTGTGTGGTATGTGGCTTAGGGCACGTGGGCTTCAGTAGCTGCAGCACGTGGGCGCAGAATCTGTGTGGCGTGTGGCCTAGGGCACGTGGCTTCAGTAGCTGCAGCACGCGGGCGCAGAATCTGTGTGGTGTGTGGCCTAGGGCACGTGGCTTCAGTAGCTGCAGCGCGCGGGCGCAGAATCTGTGGTGTGTGGCCTAGGGCACGTGGCTTCAGTAGCTGCAGCGCGCGGGCGCAGAATCTGTGGTGTGTGGCTTAGGGCACGTGGCTTCAGTAGCTGCAGCGCGCGGGCGCAGAATCTGTGGTGTGTGGCCTAGGGCACGTGGCTTCAGTAGCTGCAGCGCGCGGGCGCAGAATCTGTGGTGTGTGGCTTAGGGCACGTGGGCTTCAGTAGCTGCAGCACGTGGGCGCAGAATCTGTGTGGCATGTGGCCTAGGGCACGTGGCTTCAGTAGCTGCAGCGCGCGGGCGCAGAATCTGTGTGGTGTGTGGCCTAGGGCACGTGGCTTCAGTAGCTGCAGCGCGCGGGCGCAGAATCTGTGTGGTGTGTGGCCTAGGGCACGTGGCTTCAGTAGCTGCAGCACGCGGGCGCAGAATCTGTGTGGCATGTGGCCTAGGGCACGTGGCTTCAGTAGCTGCAGCGCGCGGGCGCAGAATCTGTGTGGTGTGTGGCCTAGGGCACGTGGCTTCAGTAGCTGCAGCGCGCGGGCGCAGAATCTGTGGTGTGTGGCCTAGGGCACGTGGCTTCAGTAGCTGCAGCACGCGGGCACAAAATCTGGGTGGTATGTGGCTTAGGGCATGTGGGCTTCAGTAGCTGCAGCACGTGGGCGCAGAATCTGTGTGGAGTGTGGCCTAGGGCACGTGGCTTCAGTAGCTGCAGCGCGCGGGCGCAGAATCTGTGGTGTGTGGCCTAGGGCACGTGGCTTCAGTAGCTGCAGCACGCGGGCACAAAATCTGGGTGGTATGTGGCTTAGGGCATGTGGGCTTCAGTAGCTGCAGCACGTGGGCGCAGAATCTGTGTGGAGTGTGGCCTAGGGCACGTGGCTTCAGTAGCTGCAGCGCGCGCGCGCAGAATCTGTGGTGTGTGGCCTAGGGCACGTGGCTTCAGTAGCTGCAGCGCGCGGCTCAGCCGCTGGGGCTGGCGCGCTCTCCAGCGCAGATCAGAAGTGGTGGCACGGGGGCTCAGTCGCTCTGCTGGCCTGTGGGGTCCTCCCAGGCCGGGGACTCTACCCCTGTCCCCTGCATTGGCAGGCTAGTTCCTGCCCACTGCACTACCAGGGGAGTTCCTAGAGCAAACATTTAAGTGAAACAAACACTTACCGTTTGGTACCGTCTTCACTAATTATTATCATCCCTTTACTCATTCAGCTTTAATTTTGGCCACACTGCTGTTTAAAAATGATTTGAGTTCTGATTCTTGCTGTGTTGTACAGTTTCTTTTTCCATTTATAGCTCCTAAGGCCTCTGCTTTATCAGCAAGGTTATTTCTGTTTCTTCTGCTACCTGATACTCTACTTATTCTTTTTTTTTTAATTGAAGTATAGTTGATTTGCCCTGTTGCATTCGTTTCTAGATACTCAACTTTCTTAGCAAGAGATTTTTCTTTTCGGTTTCTTGCCATTCACATATTTTTAACTGATCAAGTGTCCTTTTTTCTTCTTTTAGAAAAAAGAATTTTAATCATATTAATTGTTTCATTTGAGAGCATTTGAACTCTCAACCCTTCCCATTTATCACTTCCCAATCAGAAAGAGATAATCAGAGTAAACTGAACATGTCAGCTTTCTCTGTGGAAGTTTCTAATCATGTCTAGCTTAAAATTTTGGCCCCCCCCCCTTTTTAAATATGTGTAACATAGGATAACATTTTTAAAACACTTTCTAAATAGCCCATAGAATTTATAATATACCATTTTATGAAAAAGAAAACTTTATGTTATAAGACTACATAATTGTTATAGAATTGTTTTAGAAAGTGTTACTAAGTTTAGTGTCTGTTTTTCTAGATTCTCTATGTATATATAAATTTTTCCTCTATGAATTATTTTTTAACCTATATTATAGATTCTTTAAGATAATGCTTATATTTTCTATATTCTTGCTTATGGATCATTATGTCATTTTTAATGACATAAGTATTATTTAATGACATAAGTATTCCAATGTACAGATGTACCTTAATTTATTTAACCTATCCTTTCTAGGTATAAGACACTTAGATTATTCCAGTGTTTCTCAAAGTAGTGTGGTGAATACATGTGTGTATGTGTGTATATATATATTGTGAAAATACATATTTGCATATTTGTTTTTTATAGCATACATTCATTAAAAGATAAGTTCGCTATATCAAAACAAACATGTTTTAGGTTTTAATGGATATTATTTAATTTCTCCTCAAAAATATATTGTACTGGAACAGTAATATACTGCCAGTGGGATTATAAACTGCTGTAACCACTTTGGAAAGTTGTTTGAGAGTATCTATTAAGGATAATCATATGCACATACTGTGGTCCAGCATATCCACTTCTAAATATATGCTCAAGAGAAATATGTGCATATGTTCATCAGGGCACTATTTTTGTCAACAAAACCTGTAAACAACCCAATGTCTACCAACAGTTGTATGGATACATAAATTATAATGTATTTATGTAAAGTAGTATTGTACAGCAAAGAGAATGAATGAACTACAGCTAAATACAGCAACATGGATGAATCTTACAAATATAATATTGAGCTAAAGAAGCTAGATACAAAATATATCATATGATTTTGTTTATTTAATGAAACAGGCAAAATTAACCCATCATGTTAAAAGTCAGAATAGTGCAGCATTATAATGGAAATGGAGAATGGGGAGACTTCTGAATTCTATTTATTCTCTATTTCTCAATACTTGTGCTGGTTACATGGGCCTATTTTGCAAAATTGCATTGAGCTACACCTTTTTGACTTATACCTTCCTGTATATGTTTCTACTTAAGTGAAAAATTTACAGCCAAAGAGTGCTTTTTCTTTATATACATAAAACCTTCAAACTCCTACCAGTAGTGCCTATTTTCCTGTGCTCTTAACCACTCTGATAGATGTAAAAAAATTTTTAATGCGATAGACATACCAAAAGATGAATTTGTTTTATTATTATTGAGGGTAAGCATCTTTTTGCCTATTTATTAACAGTCTCTTTCTTCTGTAATTTCATTGTTCATGTCCTTATTTTTTCTATTATAGTACTTATATTTCGTACTGATTTGTAGACACTTGATATATTTTGGATTTTTGTCTGTTATACTTCAGAATATAATGTTTTAAATAACAAGTTCAAACTAACAGTTATTTAGTAGTAGATGTTGGGGAAAGTTTCTTCTAGTAATAAAATCAGTCTTAAAGAGGGTCCATTGTTCTTCACTCTCTAGCTCTGTGACCCAGACCCAACTGGGTTCTTAGGAGAGTAAAAATCAGCCTCATTAGCTCCATTCTGTACTCTAAAATGAAGTTCATGTAGAATAGATTCTATTAGAAGATCCTTGTTTTATTCATAGATATCAATATTCTTTCCTTGACTAGTTTGTTCTTTGCTGAGAACACCTTTAAACAAAATCTCAAAACATCCACTGCAATTATATGTTAGCTTTAGTTTCTTTTTTTTGGTTTCTCTTTATGCCTTTATATTTCCTGATATGGAGAGGACAAATAATATTGACTAGGTTTTGTTTTATTTATAGTAAATTGCATATTAATTTTGTCTGTATTATATTTTTATAAAATAGCCATTTAAACAGTGTGCCGCATGCTATTTCGTTTACTCTCAACCAGTACCAAATTTCTAAGTGATCTCTCAACTAAAACATTTTGTTTTAGTAACTCAACTAGTTTGATGTAGTCTTACTGTTTTGTCTGCCTTTTTATGCTTTTGACTGGGGATGCCTCATTGAGATAATGTTGAGTTTAAATAATTTCTAGATTTCACTTGATTTTAATGTTGCTCACTTTCATTCTGTAGTGGCCTGTGAATGTTTTATACTTATTTCTGTATTTTTCTTTTAATATGTAATTCATAGACGCTCTGCTGTTGCCCGCATTCAGGAGTTCTTCAGGCGGAGAAAAGAAAGGAAAGAAATGGAGGAATTGGATACTTTGAACATTAGAAGGCCACTAGTAAAGATGGTTTATAAGGGCCATCGCAACTCCAGGACAATGGTACCACATACTCATGACATTGTTTCAAAGAACTGCAGTTTCATAGCATGAATTTTTTTCCATAATGATTGTTTTTATACATGCCAGTTTGATTCTACTATATTCTATATAATTATCTCTGTACATAACATTTATTGCACCTTCACAGTTATCTCTTTACCCAAACATAGTTCTTTTTGTCCTATAATATGTTGTGAAAGAGCATTATTTTTTATAAGAAAACTCTACCCTACTGAGGAACTGTTATAGAACTTTAAAAATGTTAGCTTGTATAGGTAACCATTGCTGCTTTTTTGCTCTCTCACACTTGCTATCTACTTTCCTAGTAGATTTGTTTTAGTTCATATTAGTTTCTTTTGTTGGTTGTAAAGAGAAAGATTTGGATATATGAAATCCAGGTTCATTACAAAATATAGTCAGATCAATTATAACTTTTTTAAAGATTGACAAAGATTTATTTTAGTCACCTTGTCTTTCTAAACTTTAATTTCCTCATCTATGAAGTAAAAACAGACCAGATGATATCTAAGATCTTTTCTAGTGTTTATAACCCAGAAGTCTGTCTACCTAATGCAATATTAGTTATTTACTGAGAAAATCTTGTTAGATGATTAACAACTGTCACTGTGAACCATTCATATCTGAAAGTGTTCTCATATATTCATTGAGTTTTCAAAAAGTATCTACTGAATTGATTTCAATCTCCTTTCTTTAAGGTAGAGGCAAAAAGTAACTTCGGGATGAGGAAATAATTAGCTCTTTTTATAGATATCATGTAGTAGCAATTTACTTATTTTACAAGGACTACTCATTATTAATAGAAGCAATCAATTTGTATTTCTTGTGTTTTTATGGTTAAAATTTTGGATGGAAATAACTAGGGATAAGAATGGAAAAAAGTAGAAGACAAATAAATATAATAGTAGTTCCAAGTAACAAGAAAATTGGCTCCCCTCCTTTGCTTTGCCAAAAATATCAAAGTCGCAGCTGTACATAATATGATTTCAAAAATTCTGATCTGAAATACAAAGATTTTTGATGGTTTTGGGCATCTGCTGAAAAACTCCATCATAATAATCTTAACATGTCCTTTGTTTCATTGCTTCATGTAAGTAAATATGTATTTATATCTTTCCTTCTTGATTGTGAGACTTCTGATAACTAATAAAAAGGTTGGTAATTTTGTTCTTTTGGCATAAAGCAAAATACTGGGGGGAACAATTCAGTTTTTCCTATGAATTGTTTTTATTATCTTTTAGAGCTAAAATGGAACCAGTTTTGGAAAGTTCTGTGACATCTATATATATATAAATTTTCATTATACTATCCATAACCCAGAAATCTCATTCATTCATTTAGCAGTTATTAACTCAACACCTACTGTGTGCCCTACTGTTTCAAGCACTGTAAATATAGTATTGAACAAAATAAAATACCTATCTTCATCATGGAGGACTTTATTTTCTTCTATTTTATCCCTACTGATAAATCTCTGTCATGGTCAATATACTGGAAGACGAAGACTCTCTTCAATTTTTTATTTTCTAAGCCAATTAATTTTTTAAACTTGAGAATAGAAAAGTCTTTTTTAATAACTTTGATTTGAAATCTCTTATAATTTTCTGTTTTTCTTAATCCTTAGATAAAAGAAGCCAATTTCTGGGGTGCAAACTTTGTAATGAGTGGTTCTGACTGTGGCCATATCTTCATCTGGGATCGTCACACTGCTGAGCATTTAATGCTTCTGGAGGCTGATAATCATGTGGTAAACTGCCTGCAGCCACACCCATTTGACCCAAGTAAGATGACCTTTAATAAGGCAAGGGTTCAAAATCATTAGTATGATTAATCAGCTTCAACTTTTTTCTAGTTTTAAGAATAAATATATAAGAATAATCCAAATTATCCTAGTAGGCAGCTACTAGGGTCAAGTATTGCTCTTCTTGGGTTTAAAACAAAAAACATTTACAACCTGCTTTTGGCAGAAAATGGAGGGAAGTAGATTAAAGAGTTTATTCTCCTAATAGTTCTTCTAAGTTCTATCAAGCTGTAAGAGCTTCAGTTGATTGAACTTTTCCCTGCTTAACCAAATTGAACTTCCATGCCTTTTAGTATTTACATATCAGAATTAATTACCAGAACAAAGGAGCAATGACTTGTTCTTGCATTCCATTTGAAATTCCCATGTTTCTCATAAAAGAACAGTAAATAGGAAAAAAGTTTGAGTGATTTCAAGATGGTCTTAAAATTGTATTATAGGGTAACTTTTAGGAAATCTTCAAAACAGTATTCTTAGTTAACAGTTAAATGTATCAGAACAATGTCCATTCTAACTCAATTTTGCTGAACATATACATCCATGCATATATACATTATACATTTACATGACTTAATGGCATGTTTCTAAGCTTTATATTAATGTGAATGATTTTTTCTAGTTCTCGCCTCATCTGGCATAGATTATGACATAAAAATCTGGTCACCACTAGAAGAATCAAGGATTTTTAACCGAAAACTTGCTGATGAAGTAAGATTTTTGTTATATTTATTATAGAACATATTTCATTTTGTTCCTGAAATGCTTTAATAATTTTATTTATTTATGTATATATTTTTGGGTTGTGCTGTGCCTTCGATGCTGTGTGGGCTTTCTCTAGTTTCAACACGTGGGAGTTACTCTGCAGTTGCGGTGTGTGGGCTTCTCATTGCAGTGGCTTCTCATTGCAGAGCTTGAGCTCTAGGCACGTGGGCTTCAGGAGCCGTGGGCTGAGGTTGCTGCAGCTGTTCAGTCGTTGCAGCTCCCGGGCTCTGGAGCGCAGGCCCAATAGTTGTGGCACAAAGGGTTAGTGGCCCCACGGCATGTGGGATCCTCCCAGGTCAGAGGTCAGTCCCGTGTCGCCTCCATTGGCAGGCAGATTGTCTATCATTGAGCCATCAGGGAGGCCCCTGAGATGCTGTTTCAAGGACGATCAAAGCAGCTCAGTTTTTGTTACTTGGTACCATAAAACAGGTTAATTCAGCTAATGAGGTCAAATTTTAAGAAAAAGAAAAGAATAAAACATGCCCACAATACTAGAGAGGTAAAACCTGGAATACTATTTTGATAATTAGAATGTTGATTATTGGTAGTAACAGATAAAATTTATAATAGTTGAATAGATTGACTATTTTGGCTTGATGCAATGAAGAATAATAAAAAAAAAAAACTTGTGTCCTTTTAAGAAAGTAGTTTTACTATAACTTTTCTCCATAATCATAGCCAAATGGGTAGCAGAACAAATGATCAGAGAATCTTTACTTTATGATTTTATTTTAAGGTTTCCTCAGCTTCTGAAGCTGCTGTTATATCAGTAGTCTTGAAATTAAGTTCTCAGAAGCTGTAGGTTTTTTGCAGGATTGGGAGCAGGAAGATGTATGATATGAAAGCTAAACTTTGGGTATTTCCTCCTCAACTCCAGAGTTTCCATTTATGGGTTTCATTTAAGATTTCTTACAAGTATTTCTTATAAGGAAAATAAGGATCCATTGCATTAGTCAGCTACTAACAAATTACTGAGCTTCTGTGAGGAGGTGAGTGCAGCTAAGGTTGATATTGCTACCTCTTACCCTTTCATGGACCTCAGCCTTGTCATGGCAAAGGGGCTTCTGTAACTCAATAAAGCTATGAGCCATGCCGTGAGAGCTGCCCAAGAGAGAAAAAGAGTTCTGACAAAACGTGGTCCACTGGAGGAGGAAATGGCAAGCACTTATGAACAGTATGAACAGGCAAAAGGATATGACATGGGAGAATGAGCCCCCATGTCAGGAGGTGCTATAGGGGAGGAGCAGAGGGCAATTACTAACAGCTCCAGAAAGAAAGAAGGGGCCGAGCCAAGGTAGAAATGTCATTCAGTTGTGGATGTGTCTGGTGGTGACAGTAAAGTCCAGTGTTATAAAGAACAATATTGCATAGGAATGTTAGGTCCATGAATCAAGGTAAATTGGACTTGGTCAAGCAGGAGAGACAAGAATAAACATCAACATCCCAGGAATCAGTGAATTAAAATGGACAGGAATGGGCGAATTTAATTCAGATGACCTTTGTATCTACTACTGTGGGCAAGAATCTCTTATAAGAAATGGAGTAGCCATCATAGTCAACAAGAGTCTGACATGCAGTACTTGGGTGCAATCTCAAAAACGACAGAATGATCTTGGTTTGTCTCCAAGGCAAACCATTCAACATCACAGTAATCCAAGCCTATACCCTAATCATTAATGCCAAAGAAGCTGAAGTTGAATGGTTCTGTGAAGACCTACAAGACCTTCTAGAACTAACACCAAAAAAAGATGTCCTTTTCATAATAGGAGATTGGATTGCAAAAGTAGGAAGTCAGGGCTGGAGTAACATGCAAGTTTCACCTTGCAAAACAAAATGAAACAAGGCAAAGGCTAACAGAATTTTGTCAAGAGAACACTGGTCACAAAGACACCTTTTCCCAACAACACAAGAGAAGACTCTACACATGGACATCACCAGGTGGTCTATAGCAAAATCAGATTGATATTTTTTTGCCGCTGAAAATGGAGAAGCTCTTGACAGTCAGCAAAAGTAAGACCTGGAGCTGACTGTGGCTCAGATCATGAGCTCCTTATTTCAAAATTCAGGCTTAAGTTGAAGAAAGTAGGGAAAATCACTAGGCCTTTCAGGTATGACCTTAATCAAATCCCTTATAATTATACAATGGAGGTGATGAATAAGTTCAAGAGATTAGATCTGGTGGAGAGTGCCTGAAGAACTATGGACAGAGGTTTGTAACATACAGGAAGCAGTGACCAAAACCATCCCCAAGAAAAAGAAATGTAAGAAGGCAAAGTGGTTGCCTGAGGGGGCTTTACAGATATTTGAGAAAACAGAAGTGAAAGGCAAGGGAGAAAGGGAAAGATATACCTAAGTGAATGCAGAGTTCCAGAGAATAGCAAGGAGGGATAAGAAGGCCTTCTTAAATGAACAATGCAGAGATATAGAGGAAAACAACAGAATGGGATAGACTAGAGAACTCTTCAAGAAAATTGGAGATAACATGGAAACATTTCATGTAAGGATGGGCACAATAAAGAACAGAAACGGTAAGGACCTAACAGAAGCAGAAGATATTAAGAGGTGGCAAGAACACACAGAACTATATAAAAAAGTCTTAATGACCCAGATAACCACAATGATGTGGTCACTCGCCTAGAGCCCCAGACATGTGACTTCACACTGGAGTGTGAAGTCACATGGGCCTTAGGAAGCATCACTACAAACAAAGCTAGTGGAGGTGATGGAATTCCAACTCAGCTATTTAAAATCCTAAAATAGGATAATGGTGTTAAAGTGGTGCACTCGGTGTAAGCAAATTTGGAAAATTTAGCAGTGGCCACAGGACTGGAAAAGGTCAATCTTCATTCTAATCTCAAAGAAAGGCAATGTGAAAAAATGTTCAAACTACCTCACAATTGCACTCATTTCACATGCTCGTAAGGTTATGCTCAAAATCCTAGCTAGGGTTCAACAGTATGTGAACCAAGAACTTCCAGATGTACAAGCTGGATTTAGAAAAGGCAGAGAAATTAGAGATCAAATTGCCAACATTTGTTGAATCACAGAGAAATCAAGGGAATTCCAAGAAAACATTTACTTCTGCTTCATTAACTATGCTAAACTGTAGTTTGTTATGAATCACAGCAAGTGTTGGAAAATTCTTAAAGAGATGGACCACCTTACCTGCCGCTGGGCTTTCCTGATGGCTGAATGGTAAAGGATCCACCTGCAGTGCAGGAGACCCAGGTTCAATACCTGGGTTGGGAAGATACCCTGGAGAAGGGAATGGCAACCCACTCCAGTATTCTTGCCTGGAGAATTCCATGGACAGAGGATCATTGTGGGCTATAATCCAAGTGGTCACAAAAGTGATGGACATGACTGAGCAAAACACTCACTTAGTACTTGTCTCCAGAGAAACCAATATGCGGGTCAAGAAGCAATAGTTAGGACCAGACATGGAACAACTGACTGGTTCAAAATTGGGAAAGGAATACATCAAGGCTTGCTTATTTAACCTATATGCAGAGTTCATCATGTAAAATGCTGGGCTGGAGGAAGCACAAGCTGGAATCAAGATTGCCAGGAGAAGTAACAACAACCTTAGATACGCAGGTGATACCACTCTCATGGACGACAGTAAAGAGGAAGTAACACTGCAGAAGGGAATGGCAAACCACTTCAGTATTCTTGCCTTGAGAACCCCATGAACAGTATGAAAAGGCAAAAAGATAGGACACTGAAAGATGAACTCCCCAGGTCGGTAGGTGCCCAATATGCCCCTGGAGATCAGTGGAGAAATAACTCTAGAAAGAATGAAGAGACGGAGCCAAAGCAAACAACATCCAGTTGTGGATGTGATGGGTGATGGAAGTAAAGTCCGATACTATAAAGAGCAATATTGCATAGGAATCTGGAATGTTGGGCCCATGAATCAAGGCAGATTGGAAGTGGTCAGAAAGGAGATGGCAAGAGTGAACATCAACATTTTAGGAATCAGTGAACTAAAATGGACTAAAATGGGTGACTTTAAATCAGATGACCATTATATCTACTACGTGGGCAAGAATCCCTTAGAAGAAATGGAGTAACTGTCATAGTCAACAAAAGAGTCTGAAATGCAGTATTTGGATGCAATCTCAAAAATGAAAGGATGATCTCTGTTTCCAAGGCAAACCATTCAGTATCACAGAAATCCAAGTCTGTGCTCCAACCAGTAATGCTGAAGAAGGTTAAGTTGAATGGTTCTATAAAGACCTACATGACCTTCTAGAACTAACACCCAAAAATGTCCTTTTCATTATAGGGGACTGGAATGCAAAAGTAGGAAGTCAACAGATATATGGAGTAACAGGCAGATTTGGCCAAGTACAAAATGAAGCAGAGCAAAGGCTAACAGAGATTTGCCAAGAGAATGCACTGGTCATAGCAAACACCCTCTTCCAACAATACAAGAGATGATTCTACACATAGACATCACCAGATGGTCAATTCTGAAATCAGACTGATTATATTCTTTGCAGCCAAAGATGGAGAAGCTGTAAACAGTCAGCAAAAACAAGACCAGGAGCTGACTGTGGCTCAGATCATGAACTCCTTATTGCCAAATTCAGACTCAAATTGAAGAAAGTAGGGAAAACCACTAGAGCATTCAGGTATGACCTAAATCAAATATCTTCCTATTATATAGTGAAAGTGAGAAGTAGATTCAAGGGTTAGATCTGATACACAGAGTGCCTGGACAACTATTTACGGAAGTTCATGACATTGTACAGGTGGTGGTGATCAAGACCATCCCCAAGAAGAGAAATGCAGAAAGGCAAAATGGTTGTCTGAGGAGATCTTACAAATAGCTGAGAAAAGAGAAGCTAAAGGCAAAGGAGAAAAGGAAAGATAATACCCATATGAATGCAGAGTTCCAAAGAATAGCAAGGAAAGATAAGAAAGCCTTCTTCTGTGATCAGTGCAGAGAAATAGAGGAAAACAATAGAATGGGAAAGACTAGAGATCTCACCTTGTTTATTTAACTTATATTCAGAGTTCCTTATGCAAAAAGCCAGGCTGGATGACTCACAAGCTGGAATCAAGAATGCCAGGAGAGAGAACAACAACAATGGAGGAAGTTTACTTCCTCCATTAGGTAAAGTGAAAGTGTTAGTTGCTCAGTTGTGTCCATCATTTTTGTGACCCCCGCATGGACTGTAGCCTGTCAGGCTTCTATGTCCATGAAATTCTCCAGGCACAAATCTGTTGTGGATAACAACAAACTGTGGAAAATTCTTACAGAGATGGGAATACCAGACCACCTGACCTGCCTCCTAAGAAATCTATATACAGGCCAAGAATCAACAGGTAGAACTGGACATGGTTCCAAATCAGGAAAGGAGGACGTCAAGGCTGTATATTGTCACCCTGCTTATTTAACTTATATGCAGAGTACATCATGAGAAATGCCAGGCTGGATGAAACACAAGCTGGAATCAAGATTGCTGGGAGAAATATCAATAACCTCAGATATGCAGATGACACCACCCTTATGGCAGAAAGCAAAGAACTAAAGAGCCTCATGATGAAAGTGAAAGAGTGAAAAAGTTGGCTTAAATCTCAACATTCAGAAAACTAAGATCATGGCATTCAGTCCAATCACTTCATGGCAAACAGATGGGGAAACAATGGAGACAGTGACAGACTTTATTTTCTCGGGCTCCAACATCACTGAAGATGGTGACTGCAGCCATGAAATTAAAAGATGCTTGCTCCTTGGAAGAAAAGCTATGACCAACCTAGACAGCTCATTAAAAAGCAGAGACATTACTCTGCCAACAAAGGTCCATCTAGTCAAAGCTATGGTTTTTCTAGTTGTCATGTATGGATGTGAGAAAGAAAGCTGAGTGCTGAAGAATTGATGCTTTTGAACTGTGATGTTGGAAAAGACTCTTGAGAGTCCCTTGGACTGCAAGGAGATCAAACCAGTCCATCCTAAGGGAAATCAGTCCTGAATGTTCATTGGAAGTACTGATGCTGAGGCTGAAACTCCAATACTTTGACCACCTGATGCGAAGAACTGACTCATAGGAAAATACCCTGATGCTGGGAAAGATTGAAGGCGGGAGGAGAAGGGATGACAGAGGATGAGAAGATTGCATAGCATCACCGACTCCTTGGACATGAGTTTGAATAAGCTCCAGGAGTTGGTGATGAATGGGGAAGCCTGGAATGTTGCAGTTCATGGGGTTGCAAAGAATCAGAAACGACTGAGCAACTGAACTGAACTGAAAAAGGAACTAAAGAGCATGTTGATGAGGATAAAAGAGGAGAGTGAAAAAGCTGGCTTAAAACTCAACATTCAAAAAACAGATCATGGCATCCAGTCCCATCATTTCATGGCAGCTTGATGGAGACAAGTGAAAGCAGTGACAAATTTTATTTTCTTTGGCTCCAAAATCACTGTGGACAGTGACTGCAGCCATAAAATTAAAAGATGCTTGCTCCTTGGAAAGAAAGGAAATACAAACCTAGACAGTGTATTAAAAAGCAGAGACATCACTTTGCTGACAAAGGTCCATATAATCAGAGCTATGGTTTTTCCAGTTGTCATGTACAGATATGAGTGTTGAACCATAAAGAAGACTGAGCACCAAAGAAGTAACGCTTTTCAACTGTGGTGTTGGAGAAGACTCTTGAGAGTCCCTTGGAGTACAAGGAAATCAAACCAGTCAACCCTTAAGGGTATCAGTCCTGACTGTTCATTGGAAGGACTGATGCTGAAGCTGAAACTCCAATACTTTGGCCACCTGAGGTGAAGAGCTGACTCATTGGAAAAAACTCTGATGCTGGGGAAAATTGAGGGTGGGAGGAGAAGGAGGAGGCAGAGTATGAGATGGTTGGATATCATCACCAACTCAATGGACATGAATTTGAGCAAACTCTGGGAGATAGTGAAGGAGCCTGGCATACTGTAGTTCATGGGTTGCAAAAAGTTGGACAGGACTTGGCAACTGAACAACAGCCCTCTCTTAAAACAATAAGGGGTGCATTGCTAAAAATATTAGTAAATTGAAAAACTCATTCTCTAGACCACAATTGATAATTCATAGTGAGATTACCACATATATTTTTACTGATTATGTCAATAGACCTATATTAAACACTTAAGGCCCCTTTGTCCATGGAACTTTCCAAACAAGAATACTGGAGTGGGTTGCTATTTCCTACTCTAGGGGGTCTTCCCAACCCAGCTATCGAACCCAAGTCTCTTTTGTCTCCTGTATTGACAAGCAGGTGCCACGTAGGAAGCCCCTATATCAGATAGAGTCCTGAATTCACAAAGATAAACCCCTTCTTTCAGAACCCAAAGACTAGTGTGAAAAAACAGGCATATGTATGAACAACCAGAATACAGTGTGGTCCGTGTCAGAAATGTACACGTAGTGTTCTGGAATCTCGTAGAAAGGAATTTTCAATTGGAGTAAATGGGATGGGAAGGTCTCTTCACAGAGGAAATCAGAATTGAACTGAGGTTACCAGGTGGACCAGGATCAAAGGAGCGTTTGAGACAGAAGGATCAGGTTACATACAGTGTTTCAAGTTACTGTAAGGTAGATGGGCCACCCGTGCGCTGACACCTAGAGGACGCGTAAGAAAGCAGCTCAGTGGGACCAGCAGATGAGGCCGGGCTGTACAGGGCCCCGTGGGCCCCACACGAGCTGAGAATGTCATGTCACTGGGGGCTGCTGGTCAGGCTAGTGTCTTTTCTTCCTCCCTCTTTCCTTCCTTTTTGTTTTTCCTTTGCCATTCCCTGTGGTTTCCTCTTTTTCCCTCTGCCTGTAATTATGCATTAAATCCCTAGATGTTCATGGATGTTCTTTAGTCCTGTTCTTCGTACTTAAGACACAGTTCATTGGTAACTCTCATCCAGAGGTTTATTTTTGAAGTTAACGTAACATTTTCCTTGAGGGGCCCAAGTGACCCAGGGATAATAATTTTAACAGTGCTTTCACTAAAAATATTAGTTCCACTAGAGGGAAAAAATAATAAGCGGACACAAAGTAGACTGCTTTGCTTTTATAAACAAATTTTAAGTAAAAGTAAATTGAATTCTTACAAGTTTCAGGTAGCCTCAGCATTTGATCTTTGTCTTTCTTCCAGTTCAAGAGTAGTGTTTTCTGATCTTACTCTGTTGATTACAAGCTTAAGTAATTATTTGGCATTGGGTATCCTTAAGATGGTAATATAGACCCATATAGATACATGTGAAGAATGAAGTAATTCCTGTTAATTCTTTACAGTTCTCCTAGTATCTAAGGAAAACATACAGTTACTCTGTGATCTTTGACATGGTTATTTAACTTGTCTCATAGGTTATAACTCGAAATGAACTCATGCTGGAAGAGACTAGAAACACCATTACAGTTCCAGCCTCTTTCATGTTGAGGATGTTGGCTTCACTGAACCATATTCGAGCTGGTAAGAACTGTCAGTGTGCTGTTAAAATCATTATTATATTTGAAAAAACATTATTTAAGATTGACATTAAAGGGATTTATATTTAAGGGAGAAAAAAGGGATTTTCCTGACAGTCCAGTGGCTAGCACTTGCACTTCCACTGCAGGGGGCAGGGGTTTGATACCTGGTTGGGAAACTTAAGATCCCACATGATGCAGCCAAAAAATAAAGAGATTTTATTAATTTCCTTAAATTACAAAATCAAGGCCAACTTTTTTTTGGTCTTAACTTTTTAACTAGTTTTTTTAAATATAAGAAATTTATTTCTTGCTGTCATTAGGTCCTCTCAGACTACATGGAAGGCAGCTTAACTTTTGAACTGAGTAGTATGAATTCTTGATCTTAGTACAGTAATTTGTATCCCCATGAGCCAACTTTATTGAATTGTCATAATAAAAAGATGACATCACTTCAAAACTTTATCAGCTGTGGTTTTCTTCTCAGAGTGGAATATCATACCATAAACCTTAAGATGTGTTATAGTAAGTACCTTTTAATGATACATTTGGCCAAAATCAATCACAGCCCAGATAAAAATAAACATATTACTACAAAGATTTGAAACAATAGCTCAATGTATTTTTCAAATTTGTGTTTGTTTTAGATGATAAACCATGGGGTTCAGTGCTTCAGACACAAAACTTCACATTACAATTAATTACATTATATTACAACTTAATTTTCAAGAAGGAATGGAATAATGTGTGTTCATAACAATAGAAAGTATCCAGTTCGATTATAAACAAAATGTTCATCACTTCATTGATAACACAAATTTATTTATACGTCGAGTATTATTTAATAACAACAACAACAACCATGTATAGAGTGCCTTTAATGAATCAGGCAGCATACCAGTCATTTCACAAATTTATCCTCAGTTAGCTCTTGCCCTCTACATAGTAGTTATTTTTGATAACTCACTCCAGGTCACACAACTGATAAAAACGGTAAAGCCTGAATTTGAAACTAGTTTCCAAGCACTCACTCCCCTTTTACCTACAAATTTCAGTTGCAGGAACATGTATTCAAGTCATGAATAAGACATGCAGTCCTCTGGATGACCTGATTTCAGACTACTTTTCTTACTGCTTTTCTGCTCCATTCTTTCCTTCTCTGTCCTCTCTATTCTCTGTGCTGCTGCTGCTAAGTCGCTTCAGTCGTGTCCAACTCTGTGCGACCCCATAGATGGCAGCCCATCAGGCTCCCCCGTCCCTGGGATTCTCCAGGCAAGAACACTGGAGTGGGTTGCCATTTCCTTCTCCATCCTCTCTGGCCCTCTCTAAATCTGCAGGTACCTCAGAATCATTACAGTCATGCTGTCCCCTCCCACCCTCACTCTTTGTTAGGATAACTTCTGTCCTGGGTTTGATCCCTGGGTTGGGAAGATCCTCTGGCGAAGGGAATGGGCTACCCGCTGTAGTATTCTGGCCTGGAGAATTCCATGGACAGAAGAGCCTGGTGGGCTACAGTCTGTGGGGTCACAGAGAGTTGGACACGACTGAGTGACTTTCACTTTCACCTTTCTGTTTCAGACCTTCAGGTCTATATAAACGTCAGATTGCATATCATTTCCTCAGAGAGTGGGGAAGGGAGACATAAGTATTCCTGGCAGAAAAAAAGAGTATATAGCATTTGTCTTAAGTCCTGGAAGATTATGGTACATCTAAGAATTGAAAGAAGCTCCTTATGTCTGTAATTAAAGGAGCTGGAAAGAAAACCCTCAAATTGTCAATATCAGCTATTACAAGGAAAGAATAAAAATTTCAAATGGTCAAAGCAAAACAGAAAATAACCCTAAAATGAAACTAGAAAATGCTTGCAGTCCAACAGTGTTATCACGGCTCTTCTTTTGGCCCCGTGTCACCCACTGTGACATCTTTCGGTCTGTTTTCTAATAAGGATAAGTGCCTCTTAGAATCCGCTTGACCTCAGATTTGAGGAGGCGCCATTTTATGGAACAGGAAAACATTTGCTGATTATGATAAATAAATTTGCTTGTTCATATAAAGAGTTCATCTGGTGAATGGCTCTTTCTGAGTTTGCCTGTAGGAAACTTTCTCCTTTCATTTGTGCAAGAACCTATTTTAAATGGGTACTGAGGTATCAATGGTTTGTTAACTCAGTTATTACTATCTTTCTTTGATTTTAGAATTAGATGCTTATAATGTAAAGTTCCCTTTCTTCTATTGTGTTTTTTTTTTTGCCAGCAATCAAAGGGAGACACTTTGTAGTTGGCTTAGTCAACCTAACTCACCCTCTTGTTTCTCTTAGGTAAAATCCTTGATATGAAAAGGTAACCAAGAGTTGATATTTCTGCTGCTTTTATTCTTAAGGTATCTAGTTATTGATGAGTCAGCTACTCCTTTGCTCTCCTTTTCTTCATTGTCCTGTATTCCAAGTACAATGATGTCTGTATATTCAAGGACAGTTTCTAACAGACTTTGATTGTGGAAGCACAAGCTAGCCACAGAATACTTCAGCCATTCTATCACCCCACAGGCTTCCTGGGAAGTCAGCTCCATCCTGCTATAGATGTGATTTTTAATGAAGAGTGCTTTAAATCTTTTCAAAACTACAAATACCTGGTTCCTGCGCACTGAAGATCCTGATTCATTTTATCTGAATAGGATTTGAGCTTCTGCATTTTAAAAAAGCACCCAAAATTATTCTCATGAATGCTGTACTAAAGACATTTAGTTTAGGCAACTTCATGAGAGATAAAGGCAGTTTTGAGATTCCTAGAAGCTTTGACAGGCTTTGGAGAGATGGTGTGTGAAGCATTCCAAACTCTTCTAGAATATGTTACAATCTACTCAGTTTACTCCCCTCTTTAAAATTCTCCTGTGCCTGCCCATGCTCTTAGGATAAAGTCCCAAGTGTTAACATGGTTTCTAAAACCCTGAAGCATTCATTCATACCTCTGGAACATGGCACATGTAGATCTAGATAGCCATATCTGTAGAACTAACATCACACTGGATGTACAGCACTTACCCAGTCATGTACAAATTCACTCCATCAGTTAGGGTAGCTTTACCCCAGAATACAATCCATATTCATCTATCTTGATCTCCCCACTTCTGCTCTCGCCTCTATATAGTCTGATTTCCATAGCAGTAAGAGGAGGCTTTTTAAAAATGTGGGTCAGTTGGAGGCTAATTACTTTACAATATTGTAGTGGTTTTTGTCATACATTGACATGAATGAGCCATGGATTTACATGTATTCCCCTCCCACCTCCCTCTCCACCCGATTCGTCTGGGTCTTCCCAGTGCACCAGGCCTGGGCACTTGTCTCATGCATCCAGCCTAGGCTGGTGATCTGTTTCACTCTAGATAATATACATGTTTCGATGCTGTTCTCTCGAAACATCCCACCCTCGCCTTCTCCCACAGAGTCCAAAAGTCTGTTCTGTACATATGTGTCTCTTTTTCTGTTTTGCATATAGGGTTATCGTCACCATCTTTCTAAATTCCATATATATGTGTTAGTATACTGTATTGGTCTTTATCTTTCTGGCTTACTTCACTTTGTATAATGGGCTCCAGTTTCATCCATCTCATTAGAACTGATTCAAATGAATTCTTTTTAATGGCTAAAAAAAATAAAAATAAAAAAAGGGAAAAGATGATTATAAAAAAAATAATAATAAAGAGACATAAAGACTTGGTATGCAAAAAAAAAAAAAAATGTGGGTCAGTAAGTTCAGTTCAGTCGCTCAGTCGTGTCCAACTCTTTGTGACCCCAAGGACTGCAGCACACCAGGCTTCCCTGTCCATCACCAATTCCCTGAGCTTACTCAAATTCATGTCCATTGAGTTAGTGATGCCATCCAACCATCTCATCCTCTGTCATCCCCTTCTCCTCCTGCCATCAGTCTTTCCCAGCATCAGGGTCTTTTCCAATGAGTCAGTTCTTCGCATCAGGTAGCCGAAGTATTGGAGTTTCAGCTTCAGCATCAGTACTTCCAAGGAATATTCAGGACTGATTTCCTTTAGGATGGACTGGTTTGATCTCCTTGCAGTCCAAGGGACTCTCAAGAGTCCTCTCCAGTACCACAGTTCAAAAGCATCAGTTCTTTGGCACTCAGCTTTCTTTATAGTCCAACTCTCACATCCATACATGACGACTAGAAAAACCATAGCTTTGACTAGATGGACCTTTGTTGGCAGAGTAATGTCTCTGCGTTTTAATGTGCTGTCTAAGTTGGTCATAGCTTTTCTTCCAAGGAGCAAGCATCTTTTAATTTCACAGCTGCAGTCACCATCTGCAGTGATGTTGGAGCCCAAGAAAATAAAGTCTGTCACTGTCTCCATTGTTTCCCCATCTGTTTGCCATGAAGTGATTGGACCGGATGCCATGATCTTAGTTTTCTGAATGTTGAGCTTTAAGCCAACTTTTTCACTCTCCTCTTTCACTTTCATCAAGAGGCTCTTTAGTTCTCTTTGCTTTCCACCATAAGGGTGGTGTCATCTGCATATCTGAGGTTATTGATACTTCTCCCAGCAGTCTTGATTCTAGCTTGTGCTTCTTCCAGCCCAGCGTTTCTCATGATGTACTCTGCATATAAGTTAAATAAGCAGGGTGACAATATACAGCCTTGATGTACTCCTTTCCTGATTTGGAACCAGTCTGTTGTTCCATGTCCAGTTCTACCTGTTGCTTCCTGATCTGCATACAGGTTTCTCAGGAGGCAGGTCAGGTGGTCTGGTATTCCCATCTCTAAGAATTTTCCACAGTTTGTTGTGATCCATTATCAAAGGTTTTGACATAGTCAGTAAGGCAGAAGTAGATGTTTTTATGGAGCTCTCTTGCTTTTTCTATGATCCAGTGAATGTTGGTAGTTTAATCTTTGGTTCCTCTGCCTTTTCTAAATCCAGCTTGAACATCTGGAAGTTCATAGTTCACGTACTGTTGAAGCCTAGCTTGGAGAATTTTGAGCATTATTTTGCTAGTGTGTGAGATGAGTGCAATTGTGTGGTAGTTTGAACATTCTTTGGCATTGCCTTTGTTTGAGATTGGAATGAAAACTGACCTTTTCCAGTCCTGTGGCCACTGCTGAGTTTTCCAAATTTGCTGGCATATTGAGCGCAGCACTTTCACAGCATCATCTTTTAGGATTTGAAATATCTTTACCGGAATTCCATCACCTCCACTAGCTTTGTTCTTATCGATGCTTCCTAAGGACCCCTTGACTTCACACTCCAGGATGTCTGGGTCTAGGTGAGTGATCACACCATCGTGGTTATCTGGGTCATGGAGATCTCTTTTGTATAGTTCTGTGTATTCTTGCCAGCTCTTAATGTCTTCTGCTTCTGTTAGGTCCTCATTTCTGTCCTTTATTGAGCCCATCTTTGCATGAAATGTTCCTTTGGCATCGCTAATTTTCTTGAAGAGATCTCTAGTCTTTCCCATTCTATTGTTTTCCTCTATCTCTTTGCATTGATCACTGAGGAAGGCTTTCTTATCCCTCCTTGCTTGTGGGTTAGTAAACCTTTTCTTTAAATGGCCAGAAAGTGAATAGGCTTTGTGGGCCATGTGGTTTCTGTTGCAGCTGCTCATCTCTGACACTGTGTTGCAAAAGCAGCCATAGATAGTATGTAGATCCAGGGCATGGCTGTGCCCTAACACTGCTTTATTCACAAAAATGGGCTCAGGGAGGGTTTTCCCAGGGGCCGTAGTTCGCTGACTCCCTTTTTTAAGAAGTACATTAGGTTATTTCACCCTTGCTTAAAATTCTCAGGGGCTTCCCACTGCTCATAAAATAAAACCTAGACTTCATACTCTGGTCTACAAGAGATAGACCTGCCAGCCACTGAGTCGACGCATTCGTCTTCTGCTCGTCACTACATTTTAACCAAAAGTGACTGCTTTCCTCCTCAGACTCATAAAGCTACTAGCGCATTTAGGACCTCTTCACTGGCTGTTTCTCTGCCTTTCAGGCAGCTTTGTTTGCCAGCTTCACTAATAACTGAACATACAGTTGAGTCTCAGGTCCAGTGTCGCCTCCTTAGAGAAGTGCTCCCTCGTCACTCTGTGAAGTTGCTTCATACGCACACCCTCCTCATCACTCACTCTCTGGTCATTGCCTGTTTTTCCTCAAGTACTTATTCTAACTTCATTTATTTGTTGCCTTGTTACATAGATTAAAGGAGAAAAATACATTGTCTTGTTTTCTGTTTTTCTTTTCTAGAAAGTGAGTTCATTAAGACCAGAGACCTAGTTTGTCTCTTTCACATCTGGGTAGCTAGTTCCTAGAACAGCGGTGCCTAGCACGTAATAGTTGCCCAGTCAGTGTTTTGTGAATGAATGGGTGAGTGAATGAATAAACTAGCATCAAATCTCTAGCTAATCAGGAGTACTGTATTGATTCTTTGTGGAATACAGGTTTCCTTCGGGTAATTGTTTTCACATCTCTGTTGTCCCCTCTCCAGCCCCCAGCCAGCTTATTAATAGTATCTCATATTTTTCCTGATCAAAAATAATTTCAGAAGTATTTCTAAAAGAGAATTAAAGGAGCCTTCCCACAAATGTAACCCTTATTTACAATAGCAACTTGGTGTTGTCTTGCTTTTGAAAACAGTGGCTTTCTAAGTCATTATTTCTAGTTCTCATTTTAAAGAACACAGTGTTCTCAGCCCTCCTTGGCCTGTAATTGCCAACCAGAGATTTGTGAAAGTGTTCAACTGCTTTGCAGTTTTATTACCTCAGTAGTACTCTGTGGACAAAAATATTTTATTTAATTTTGTTCTTAAAAATTGGGTTTATATTCTGAGAGAGATGACTCTGCAGAAGTTGTGTGAGAAATATCTGAAAAAAGAACCACCATTCTGCCCTCTTCCTCATTCCAGAAGCCACTGTCAGTTACTTTGTGACCTATACAAGAGACCCTAGGCCCTCACTCGACTTCATGTTGCTTGCTTTGGACTTTGCTGTAAACTCCCTGATTTCAAGGCTGTGACATTTCATCTTAACCCTCCATTTCCCCATCTTCATTCATAATGTGACAACCAAAAAGAACTGGGTCATCCTGCACATTTTAAAATATGTGGATGCGATTTAAACATGTTCCACTAAGATGACAGGCATCTTACTTAATGATACTGTAGGTAAGCAGAACAGCAAATTCATGTTTTGTTCTCTCCCATGAAAGTATATCACACAATAAATATGGCATAATCTCTTTTATACTCACATCCCTTAGGTAACTTATTATTGATCAGAAAGTCTTCCACTGTGTTTAGATTCCTTAGTGACCTGTGAAGATTTATTATAATCTTATTTTATCTTACAAATGTATATTGAACACTTTTATATAATAACAAAACTTGTATAACTCAGGTTACAAATCATATACACATATATTATCTCCTTAGGTTGACACTGAAATGGAGTTGGTGCTGGACAATTAAACAATTAAACCAATATCCCTTCTGTATACTGGTGTTGACAATTTAGAATTCACTGGGAGTATTTAAACCCCTGTGAATAATAAAATCTCAGGATTCCATCTTTTCTTGGTGTTGAGAAGCCTGAATTATTTCCACTGCGTCTAACCTTTACCCCTCCCAGTTTCCTGGAGAAGTGTCTCTATGATAGAAAGGGTTCCATCCTAGTGGCAGTAGTGATTTGATACTTTATACACCCTAATGTAATATATCTTGTCTTAGTAAAACTTATATTCATTTATTTGATAAACCTTCATTGAACCTCTTGTACTAGGCCCTGAGGATAAAAGATAAAAAGAAATAACTCCTACCCTCCCAGGAGCTCAGTCTGCAAGAAGATGTGAAAATAGACTAGTACTGTAATTAGAATCATCATCATATGGTACATATAAAATATTCTGGAACCTGAAGGAAGGAGTTCATAATTCTGCAAGTTGGGTATCTGAGAAAGCCTGGGGAAAGTTTCACAAAGGGAAAAATAGTTGTATTGAGTAAGCATAACCTTTATAGCCGAAGAACTAGGTGAAAGTGTCCCAAGCAGAGGGACAGCAAATGTGAAGCATGGAACTCGAGAGGACACGCCATGCTGGCTCACCAGGCTGTAACTGTGCACTCCCTTGAGTGTTCAACCTAGGTAAGCTCCTTGAGGACAGAGAAGACACTGTGACTGCTTTGGTCACCACTGTATCCTGGAACATAGCAGATATTTAAGAAATATTTTTATAACCAGAAATATGTGTGTTACGTGCTAAGTCGCTTCAGTCGTGTCTAACTCTGCAGCCCGCCAGGCTCCTGTCCATGGGATTCTCCAGGCAGAAATGCTGGAGTGGCTTGCCATTTCCCTCTCCAGGGGATCTTCCTGACCCAGGGATTGAACCCGGGTCTCCTGCATTGCAGACAGATTCTTTACCATCTGAGCCAACTAGGGAGAGATTGCCAGATTTCTTGCACAGCTTCCGTCTCACTCGCTTTGGTGACACCTGATATAACTCCTAGGGTTCCTAGACTCCAAGGGACACAGTCTGAAACCATTGCAGTAGACCACAATAGATCACGATTTTTTCTTTTTACTTTGTAATTTTTTTTAATCTTTAGAATTACATGAATATTCTAAGTTAATAGTGCTGTGTTTCCTTTATATTCTTTGCCTCTAGAGGCAAAAATAACTTCTACACATAGCTGTGAGCTGATTTTTACATGATGATATTTTGAATTATACACATTTTAATCAGTTTTAAGGCATTGACAGTTATTTTGATTGTAATACTAAAGGTGTTTTTTTGTCTTCTGTGTTTTCCAGACCGGTTGGAGAGTGACAGATCAGAAGGCTCTGGTCAGGAGAATGAAAATGAGGATGAAGAATAATCAATTCCTACTGGCAAGCACTTAGATGTTCTGAAATTTGTATAAGACATTTATTATATATTTTTTTTCTTTACAGAGCTTTAGTGCAATTTTAAGGTTGTGGTTTTTTTTGAGTTTTTTCCCTTTGGGGGGGATAACCTGACATTGGTTTGGAATGATTGCGTGCATGAATTTGGGAGTGTGTGTAAAACAAAACTAGCAAAATGTTTTTAAAACTTTTTGCCATGTGTGAGGAGTGCTAGAAAATGCAAAGTGCAATATTTTCCCTAACCTTCAGATGTGGGAGCTTGGATCAATGTTGAAGAGGAATTTTCATTATAGTGAAAATATTGGTTCAAAGAAATGTCTATACTTGCCATTTGCATGTTTATTGCTTTCTAATTAAAGAAGTTGGTTGTTTTATGATATCCTGAATTTGACTTTTTATTTAATGCCTTGCTATCTTGACCCATTTTCTAAATCTCTTCTAGATTTAATAACCTTTTCTGTTTTGACTTCTCTTTGGCAGAATTATATACAAGACCCTTTTCTCATTTCTCCTTCCAAAGTGCTTTCTCTCTAATGATCATCTTTCATGGTTTGTGGTGCCTCACTACCCAAGTACAGGGTTTAGTCCCCATGCCGTCTCAGAGCATCATGGCTACTCATGCATATTAACACAAGCCTGTTCGGAAGAGTTCTGGCTTCTGGCCTTCCTGTCTCCACCTTCTAGATTTCAGCTGAAAATGTTGACCATCCAGTCTCCTAATTCCTGGTCCTGCTCCTCACTGGTGTCCACCTGCACCCAACTTAAGCATCTACACTCTGGTCTATCTTACAGGTTCCTATAGACTGAACACTTCAGTAATTCTGTCTCCTATCCCCTAAACTGTCATGCTGCTTTCTCTGACTGAGCCACAAATAGACTGACAGGGGTGGCCAGATTCCCATGGGAGATCAGGGATGGTTCCTCCCAGATGACTGCGGACCCAGGGACACGTTGCTAAGAGAAGACAGATGGCTTTTGGATAGAGGGGAAAACTCTAGTTGGCTCAGGAACTTCAGTTGGCCTTCAATGCCTAGCTGTTAGTCTGGGCAGGACACAATATGTATCTGTATTAGGAATATGCTAAGTGGTCAAAAGGGAACGGAATTAGAGGTCTAACCAAACAGGGCAGCTGCATGATTTTCAAAACGCATTAGGGTCTATTTCTGGTTCCCAAATAGTTATGTGACCTGCTCAAGCCATCTTATTTCTCTGGGCTTCTGTGTCCTCCTCCCTAAATTGTTTCACCCTGTAAGTCTCAGGGGCTGTGTTAGGACCACATGAAAGGCCGGAGGGCTTTTTACAGAATAACTGAAAAGGTTACTGCAGCACACAAAATAACAGTCTCTTCCACTAGAACAGGAACGGAGAAGTGCTGGAAAACTAATAGAGCAGACCTGGAGTACTCAGTGGGGTCAAGGGTGACTGGCAGGAAAAAGAAGAGGAGAAAATCAATGACTTCGCTTCACTGTGTTCACTTGGCAGTGAAGGAGGCTGGGCAGCTGGGAGTGGAGGAATTCTGAACTTCTGGTTCAACTTTGCTAGGAACCTAAAACTGCAACCCAAACATTAAAAAGTGGTATTTGTCCAAGGAATTAGATGCCTTAGTTTTATTGATTTTGTAGTTTTGTGCTGTATGTTACAATGGGCTTCTGTGGTAGCTCAGTGGTATAGAATCTGCCTGTCAATGCAGGAGACGCAGGTTCAGTCCCTGGGTCGGGGAGGTCCCCTGGAAGAGTGAAATGGCACCCCCACTCCAGTATTCTTGCTGAGAGAACGCCCCGGAGCCTGGGGGCTACAGTCTGTGGGGTCACAAAGAGTTGGACACGATTGAGCACGTATCACCAACTGGTTATCGAGGAGCAGGGCAGGCCAGACAAGTAGTCAAGAAGACGGCGGAGAGAAAAGATTATGCAGAGGCAGAGTTGATGAGTCGTGGCCACTCCCATGATCCACTGCTTGGGGGTGTGGGGGGATGCCAAGACCGCAAGTTAGACTCCGGACCTCAGTGCTCCACTCAATCACTCAGAAAAAGGAATATGGCTTTAGGGCTGCCAGGTTCAGCGTCAGATAAATGTGGTAGGCTCTGTGCCTTGGGGTCGTACCAAGTCTGATAATCTCTACCACCCGCCCTTTGGCTTTGGTTGTGGGGCAGACCAAGCAGGAGAGCACTGCTCTTCATTAATGCTCCTTTAAAACTTAGAATTCTTTAACAGTGTCTGTTGTGTATTTCCTGGTCACTTCCCAGTCATTTCACAGTATTCCATGAATCTAATTTCCTTGCACGAGTTTACTGAAAACACATGGATGCTGTACCTAGGTGACTGTGGTATGGGTTGTGCCACAGTTGGCTTAGTCTCCTTCCTCTTTTCAGCCCGTGGGAAGGGAGGCTTGAGAAAAGGACACATCTGCAGAAAAAGGGTACAGGTAAAGGAGGAGACACCCAGAAAAGTCCACAGTCCTTAAGTACAAATTCACAATTTGCACAGATCTACACAAGCCAAAAACCAGATATTTAATCAGGTAAACAAAATTATTCTAAATACACTTGTACTTGTTTATAAATACGGATTTATAATGATCCTAAGCATTTGGGGGGGGGCGGTGCTTCCCTGATGTCTCAGTGAAGAATCTTCCTACAACGCAGGAAACCCAGGTTCAATCCCTGGGTTGGGAAGATCCTCTGGAGAAAGGAATGGCAACCCACTCTAGTATTCTTGCCTGGAGAATTCCATGGACAGAGGAGCCTGGTGGCCTACAGTCCATGGGGACACAGAGAGTCAGATATGACTCAGCGACTAATCCTAAGCATTTTTTTAATTAAAAAAAAAATCCAAAAACTTCAAGTGAACTGTATTTCTGAATCAGCTTGCTTTTGTCTTGAAGGTTGGGTTTTAAGCACCTTTGCATCCAGGAGTCCATTATCAGAACACAGCACAGGACTCTGCTCCTTAAACATCACTGACTGACCTATTTCCAGCCACACAGGCTCCTTTCCCTGCACTCTCGTGTGGCCTTGCCTGCTCAAGCCTGTGATCCTCCCCAGGCTGTCTTTTCCTCTGAGAAAGTCTGACTCACTTATGACTAGTGATATTTCAAAATGGTGGTGTCAAAAGGAAAAACATAAGTGGCTTTTAATTCTTAAGCTGTTAATACTGCTCAGGGAATTGCCCTCTGAGGGAAATGAAAACAGCTTTGTCTATTTTGTTCTCCTAAAAATAACAATGAGTAGAACTGTGTTCTTGACAGATTTGAGTTTGTTCTTTGAATTCTTTCCAGTGAAGTCTGATCACTTTCCTTAGGTCTGCAGTTTTTTATAGTTCTGGCAAGCAGATATTCTAATCCCCAAATTCCTTGGTTTACAGTAGTTTTTTCTACCGACCCAATAAAGCCCCACTGGTCTGTTCTTCTATGATGACTGTCAACTATCTCTCGTCCTCCTCAAGCTGCAGAGCTGTGTTTTTCCTTCTCTCAGTCACATGGCCAGGGACGCTTTGAGACCTTGGACAATTCTCTGGACTTCCTGAGGCCTCCTTGGGTTGTGTGTGTCTCCTTTCCCAAATCAGAAGGATGATCCAGCTCTGCCCCCTCTTGCAGTCATATACGGCTGTGCTCAGCCACTTTCCTGTGCTTGAGGGCGAAACCTCTGATTTCTCGTCGCTCTCCCATGGATTTACCTGGGGCTCTCTGTGCCCCGTGGGTGGGCGCACAGTCTCCTGCCCCGGCACCGCCTCTCCCCTCAGCCTCTGAGGGGCACAGAGGCTGAGCCCAGGTGCCAAGGCCGCCGCCCAGCAGTCACCGCCACTGCGGGAAGGGGCTGCCCGCAGAGGCCTGGTAACACCCCAGGAGGGCGGCCCTTCCGACTGTCCCGTAAGGGAGGTCGGAGCTGGGCTGTGCTTGGGTTCTGGATGCCACGCCAGCCTGGCACTCCACCATCTGCACTGGCCACCAACAGAAGAGCTCAGCCCACTCCTTCTGATCTCCCGAACCCCAGATGCTAGTCACCCTTTGCTCCCTCACCTCCGCTGTCTTCCCCTTTCTCACCTGTCCCGTTGTAGTGTACAGCAAACATGACAGCCCATGGCAACAGCCTTCAACACTGCTTATGTAGGATGACTTAACTTCTCAAGATTCTCGTCTTGTCATTGAGAGCCCTGTAAAGCACAACTACTACACCCACCTGCAGACTGGAGGAAAAATAGCAGTGGCCCAGTATCAGCCTTGCCCCAGGTACTGTGCTAAATGCCTTAATCCACATTATCACCCAGAAGGAAGACCCTCTTGGATTCTGTGTCCCCACATAAAATGAATACAACGTTCATTTTATAGATGAGAAATCTGCAATACACAAAGATTGAGTAGCTGGCCCAAGGACACTTACTATACCAGTGACAGTGTGGAATCTGAATCCAGAACTTCCCAAAGCAAATCCTGTGCTATCCCCATTATATCACATTTGAGCTGATAAGCAATGATATAAAGCATTTGGAAGTGCCTAATAATGTGCAGCACACAACAGGCACTCAGGTACCTTTAACATGTCAGGTTCAGAGTAGTAACTCAGTACACACTAGTTTCCTTCTTCAACCTTTGTAGCCACATCACCTCCACAGTTCCTTCTAGACTGGAGATAGCTGGGGCTCAAGGCTGAACCCTTGTCATGAATATATCCTGTGGTCCATCCAGAGACCTGTCTAATCTGTACGTATTTCAAGGACCAACTGTCAGGACAGAAAAATACTCATCTCATTAAATCTGAACAAGCCAGTAAGGTCTCTCACTGTTGCTGTTGTTCAGTTGCTCAGTCATGTCTAATTTCCTGCAAGCCCATGAACTGCAGCACACCAGGCCTCCCTGTCCTTCACCATCTCCCAGGAGTTTGCTCAAACTCATGTCCATTGAGTCGATGATGCCATTCAACCATCTCATACTCTGTCATCCCCTTCTCCTGCCTTCAGTCTTTCCTAGCATCAGG